GTACCTCAAAAGTAATTCTGGAAAACAGTGCAAATAATTCTTTTCTAATAAAAAATGATTCTTAGAAACACTGAATTGAAAAGGGCTACAAACCTGGGAAGTCCCCAGGGCCTCAGCCTGAGGGGGGCTTCATAAGGTAGTATTCAGCCCCCAATATCATTCACATTTTTCCACATTTTCAAAATATATTTATCTGATTCTATGCATATTTAATGTGCATGAAAGTAATGGAGATAAATGGGTGCCATTATTATCAGACACTGCTTCAGTTCATTTATTGTCTTTCCCACAACTTCCGCTGAAAGCATAAGAAAATAGAAATGAGCATTCATCTTTAGAAGAGAAAAATAATTGAGACATATTCAGGGAAAATTCAGTCGTGGGCAGACAGACCTTTCAGAAAGCCTCTGATTAACCTGTGAAAGAAACACCAACCACACAAGGTACTGAAGGCCCTGTGCAGATTCACATGAAAGGGGGGTTGCTTCCAGGTCTTGCATCATACAACAGCTTCTCTGGGAGGCCAAGAATATAAGAAAAATTGATGACTATGCTGGGAACATATTAAGTTTAAAGCAGACAACCATAGTATCTGACAAAGACCTCTTATCCTCTCTTCCCAAGACATGATAAATCTTAGAATGCATAGAGGCCAAGAATACAGGAGCTTTTAAAGAGAAGGATATGAAAAATTTCAGGTGCTTTAATATTGCTTTAATATCACCGGTAAGGCTCAGGATGTCACATATTCCACTGAGAAGTGTTGTTTTTTTAGAAATTTAAGTAAGCTTTTGACAGAAAACTCTTGGAAATCCATTTACTCCCCACATATGCATATTTCCCACAATTTCAATAAATATTGACCTTTGTTTGGGTATCTATTGAGATTAATTGAGTCAAGAACTAGGTATTGACCAAAACAAAGAGGAGGTCAATACTTACATTGAAGGAAAATATATATTCATCCTTACTGAAAACATGAAGCCAATAGACCAAATATTTGCCCTAATTTATTTATCCTTTGTAACTCCCCGAGATTCCACTGGTGTAACCAAGCATTAAAGAAAAAATATCTGATCTATATAACTAATTAATTACCCACCCTAGGGTAACATATAATCTCAGTGTTATTAAGAAATATTCTGAAAATTCTACAAATTACAAGAACTATTTAAGGAATAAAATGAAGACGTTGCCTCCTTCTATGTAGAGACTTTTTGAGTGAAGCATGTTGTTGAAGAGATGATATATGATTAAGTCTTCAACAGACAAGTTGTGCAAGATGGATTGGATGACCTTCAGATAGCCCTTCCAACCTATATTGTTCCACAATCCCATAGAAAAAGGGTGGTATGACAAAAATCCCACACTTGTAAGCAGTGTCCAGTAGCTGAGTAAAGACTCATTCAGTGGCTCTACAATAAGAAGAGTTAGAACCAAAGGGTAATAGTTTTATTCTTAATTTTTTTCTTTTGCATAACTGTAACTTCAAATTCTTCCTGTATTTAAAACATTTTCTAGTTACAGAAGTCTTTAATTTGGTGTAGAACAAATACTGTATTTACTGGTGTTTGAGTCACTATTTTCCTTGCAGTTTAATCTGACCTAAATATGTAGTCTATGATGACAAACATAAGTGAGCAATAGGTGACATTTTTATCACATCTGATATGAAATATTTTATCATAATCTGTTCTGGGTACTATATAAATTAAATATGCATTCATTTAGCATATTGCACTGGAAAACCTCATATGGTGTGTTCAAGAAGCAACTTTTAACATAATTATGTGCCTAAAATGCATTTCTTATGGAGAAAACCTTTGCTGAAAGGAAGTAGACACTGTATAGCAGGGGGAAACAGGCCACAGTTTTTCAAAAAATTTTTAATTTAATTTATTAGGAACAAAAATTTTCTTACAATACTAGAATGCTGTTTCACTGGAAAAAAAATGTACACCTTTTATTGAAAATACTAATAAAAATATGGGAAACCTAATTTATACAGAACATAAAAGATTTAACACCTGGCTTTGGATACATGATTTGACTGTGGTCTTAGTATCAAAGCAAGAATGTCTCATGTAAAGGATGCAATTTCAGGTAACAGGTTTTACCTTTATTTTCAACTTTGTGCCACGAGGAAGAAACATGTCAGCTTCTTTGTTTTAAAATTCACATTTTGTTTGTGGGCAACAGTGATACTCTCTCAAGCAAAGTCTGCTACAACACCGTTTCTGAGGGGAAAAGGCCCAGTAAGAAAAAGGGCTCTAAATAATCTCACACTTTATCTCTACAAAAAGCTCATCTTCTGAGGTGTTTCTTTTTTGTTTGCTTCACTAAAAAAATCCCTTACGTATTTCATGTGGATTATGGTTAGCCTTCCATCTTTGTCATTTTTGTAGGGGAAGAGGAAAAGAATTGTAGAGATTGACATTTTAATTTTTATCTGTCAAAAATGAAATATCTGAATGAGTACACGCTCTAACAGGGCAGGGGGAACCTGACTGAGAACTGCACACTATATTTGAGTGAGGAAAGAAGAATTGGAAAAAGACTTTAGTGATCCACATTGAGGAAGAACTATCTTTTACCCAGTTTGGTTATGCATCTTATTTTTGCCTAAAATTAGCTAATTCAAAAGTGTATAAGAACAAAACAAGTTATTCCTGTGCTACTTAGTGCTGATTGTGCCAGAATCAAGGCAGGTTTTCCTCAATATTTGCTAAACTTTTATTTCTCCATAGATCTCTCCTAACTCTCCTCAAAAATACTAAAAAAAAAATAAATATATATATATATAAGGATGTGTTTATTCATAAAGTCATCTTGTTGTTTTTACATGGAGTGAGATGGTTGCAATTCAAGTATCCAGAGCCTCTGTCTCTCTTATGACTGTAGAGAAAGAATGAGTCTATTAACTTCCATGTGCTGGTATCATCTTTTATGAACACCCGCCTCTCTTGGGGGATTTGTTGCCCTTTCTATAAAATGTATTTCTTACTTGAATATTTATCATATTTACTTTTACAATAAAAACAGGATAGATAAAAATAAAAACATGATTTCTTTATTTCATAAAAACTGAAGAGAATGAAAAACTATCATTGCCCTTTTTTAGAAACTGATTGGGTAAAATGCGGAGAAAAAAAGTGGTGAAAAACCTTTGCTAGGAAGTGCTAAGAAAACAGCAAGGGAACTTTAGTGATGGAAGTAAAAATCATGAAAGAAGGGCACTAGAACACAGTAATCAGATTTTGTAAATGCCTAACTGCATTCAGAGTATTTAGTCTACCTTGGGAAAAAAAAATAGGATAAAAAACTCTAAATTTTCAGGTTTACTGGGTATTACCCAAATTATATCTATCATTGTGATTAACTATTATTATTAAAAAAGCAAAGCTATTGCTCTATCTCATGAAAGTAATATTTGTGAGCCAATAAGTGGCTCAAAATATTCTAGCTCTGACATGGTACCATCATATTTCGTGGACAGGTGTGACCAGTGAAAAACCTGTGCATATTGTAATATGTGTTTGATGCATTTCATTTACAAGTGACCATAGTATGAAATAATTTATAATAATTAGGATTAGAAGTGTCATCCATAAATTGATGAGAAATGTCTTATGGCAGGGATATTCAGCGAAGTCCCATTTTCTTACACCTGCTGCTTATATCTCACTTCTACAACAAATGCTTTAGAGGAAACTCGGCAAAGGGAAGCAATCCTTAAACATGGTGATAGTTGATCTATCATGTTTTGATTCCTCACAGTCTGTGTAACAAGCTACAGCACTAAGATAATGTACCAGGAACAATGAAACCTAATTGTAAATGCTATGGAAACAGCCCTTCTTCACCTTAAGTCTGCAGATTTCTATGGAGTACAATAGTCAGTGCTTTTTAAGGAGAAGTTGCTGCAATTTTGGTTCTTTGAGGGCAAGGAAAAAGTGCTCAAATCAGCTATTTCTGGAGAAGTTAATAATGACATAAGGCAGCAATATAATCATGAATACATTGCTGTATAATCTTGCATAAAACCATGTTATTTATTATACACCTATAAATCAAGTGCAATCTACCCTAGATGTATTTAAAGATTGGGAAAAATGAAAGATTTTATATTAGTTTATTGAAAAAGTTTAGTGTTTTGGTTAAGAAACTCAGCTAAGTTACAAATTTGATGAAGTTGCTTGTTGATGTAGACATGAATAGACAGACAGAAATTCAATTATTCCTCCAAAATGAAAGACTTCTAAATCCTTGCTAAATTGCATTTCTGATTACCAGAGGGGGGAAAAGGAGTTATCATGGTCATGGCTCCACCTCTGTAACCATACAGTCAATTTTAACTGAATGGTGTGGAAGTGAATAGTCTGGGACTTACTGTGACAAAAGTGCCAAAATGAAACTCCCTCCACCAAAGACCACCAGACTTCACAACTTTATTTCTTTACACTGGCACAGAAGTTGGCAGAGTTTGACCTCTGTTTGTAGACAACTGTAATTTCAACCCAGTGGCTGAAGAAGTCTCTATGAAACTCTCCTGTGACACAGCCTTAAAGAAAAGAGCTACATTCCTTTGAAGAGTGTGAATAAGTCCCACTATTTTTCCAGGTTAAACAGAACTTTTAAAATTTTGTGACCCTTCTGATAAGAATAAAGAAAATACTGCATCTCACAAAAATGGATAAGCCAGATACTGCATTAAGGGGTTTAAGATCTTCAACTCAAGCTAATCTAGCCAACACTCGCATTTCATTTACTCCTTGATATTTACTCCAGTAAGATGGATCAGGATGGTAATTTCCCTGACATATTACAAAGTCAGGTAATCATTTGTGTCCCAGGTATCCAAAAGAGCAGAATTTTGTTATGGTGGCCTCCAAACAAATTGACAAATAAAGTTTCATAAAGCAGTTAGCATCCTCAAGCAGGGTCTCTGCCAGCCCCTGTGCCCCAAATTGCAGCTGTGGCTCAAGGTAGAAAATCCTCAAGTCTGAAGGGACAGAAGTATGTGGACTGAAGGCAGCTTAGTAGTAGTTTACCTTCTCTACAGTGTTTGGAGAGAGACCTGTTCAGTAATAAAGAGCAGAAACCTAATTTAGCTGTTCTGATTAGTCTTGCACAGCAGTGTGGGTTCCTGTTCGGAGGTTACATTTCCTAGGTCAGGATAGAATTTTTCCAAATATCTCACTTTTACTGCATCTCACAATTTCATTTTCAATAGTGGGGAAATTGTAATTAAGCAAATAGATTTGTTCATATTCTCTGGGTTCACAGTACATCTTTATACTTATTACAGCTTTATCATGTGTATCATTCTAGAATATGTATCAAAAATGACCAAGGTAAAGTTACACTGAGAAAATAATCACTGGTGTAACTTCAACCATCTCAGAAGAGATGAACCACATATTTCACCCCTCAGTACTTAAGTGATTCAAAATCCACATTATAGGGCAAAATAGCACATACAACTCAGCCTCTGTGAATCTCCAGTAGTATACACCTCAATCAAGAAGGTAATCAGACAGAAAGAACTGACAGGGTGAAGTTTTGGCATTCCTCAAAAGAAAGAACTTATTTTCCTTAGGCTGAAAGTATTCATGGAGCCACTGTATTAAAGTTTATGGAATTACACCGCAAATTAATTTGGTCTTCAGTGTTCAGAGTGTAAACAATGGCACTATTAGTTTGTTCAGACCTCTCTGGTCTTAATGAACTGATCAGATTATTCTATTCAGAGGCTTCACAATGATGGGGATCATTATGTGTTGTCAAAAGATTCAGCACGTAACATTCATAACACTGAGGTTTTGCTGGAGCGTCCTAATGTTAAAGGCTGATAAATTAAGCAGCCTTGGAATTCTCATTAAATATGTCAAACTGAATTGCTGTGTATTTTGCCATAGCTAATGGGTTGGGTGACCAACAGTCATTCACAGCTGAGGGCATGAGATGATTACCTTATTAAGGGAGCTGAATGAGTGTTTAGAAAGGTGCCAAGCACTAAAAAGCTGCTGAAGTTTGAAGAAGGCTGCTCCAGATAATAGAATGTCAATACTTCTAAAAGAAAGTTTCTTTCATCTTTTAAAAAAGACAGACGCATGCAAGTGAGAATAAAGTATTTCCAGTGACTAGTACAAAGATGAACTTAATTCTTTCTTGATTATGGCTAAGGTGTGATTCATACTGCTTGTCTGCTACTGCTTTCTAGCACTGAACCCTGGCCAAAAAACTCCAGTTACTGATTCATCCTTCCAGGTAAATGGTAAGAATCACCACACATCGTCTGCACTTCCCTTCTTTTTCAAGCAAAGCTTCTCATCCTTCTTATCTGCTGTTAATGCTTTCCTTTATTTTTATTGTGATTTTTTCTTCTGCTTTTGGAAAGACATTTGTGGTTCACAATTCCCATTTCTATACACAACAGAAGTAATGAAAATACCAAAGATATACAAAGAGCCAAAGCAGCATTGCTGCTCTCTGGTCTTCTTACAAAAGCCCTAGACCACTCCAGAGCCCTGCCAAGCCTCCTCCAACATATCCAGTCTGGTTTTGTCGAGAAAGTTAAGACTGATAACTGATCTTTAACCCTCACTGTTAATGAAGCTGAAGAGAGAGGATCTTATTATTCTTCAGTATTTATCTGTGCATGGTTTTTACAAGCCTTTCTCACTGCATTTAATGATGTTGCTAAAGATTTGAAACAAGTACTATTGTAACTGCTTTTTTTTGTAGATGTTGAAAGCCATTATATCATTTTAAGTGACAACCCACATTCCTTTGAAGAACTCTTCTATAAAAGCATGACTAACATTTTTTAACGTGTACAAAGTGAGAAAACACAGTGCAGCAGCATTCATGACAAACTTTTGCTGTATTTTTTTTTCTATCTGTATGACTTTTCCCTGTAAGAATTAAACTGTGACAGTCAGTTATGGAAAAGTGTAATTCAACAAATGTCAGAAGAACTTGAGTTCTTTGATTATGTGCATCCACCACCACATACTTAGAGGTGCAATGACTTCTGCTAAAGCACTTTGGTGTTAACTTTTACTGAAATTAATAAAAGCCATTGTTCTGTTTGTGCTTTTGATGGATTGACAGGGTGCATATACATGCAGACTGCCTTTTTCATACGAATTTTGTGATTACCTTTCTGCCTCACATTTCAATAGTTGAAATACACTCCCTCCTTCCTTATTCCTCCATTACAACCATATGGCTGCATACTGACACTCCACAGCATTTAAAAATCACCCCACAGACGTAAAAAATATTTCAAATGCTGGTCCTCATCACATATTTAAAATGGAAGTGAATTTTCTTGCAAAGTGTTTTGATGTAGATTTCGAATCTCACTGGGCAGGTTTGAGCTTCCTCCTGGTATTGTCTGTACTCTGGTTTAAAGGCAACGTAACACGTGCTTTGGAATTGGGGTGTGTTGAGTTGCTTTGATGTATTTTTGGTGTACTCCCAGACTGTTCTATTAGTGCAGTGAATCAGGGAATCATGATAATTTTAGAACTGATGTAGTCTGTAAGCATATTAAGATTCAGATGAATAAACAAGAGTCCCTTCCTTAAAGCATTCCTCAAGTATGGTCATTCTGTATGATGGTGTGGAGACATGCTCCTGCTCTAAATTACAATCAAGCTTTTCAAAAGCTTTCAAAACTGGAGAAGGCACTGGCACTCAAGAATCTAGAATGGGAGAGAATATAAAATTTGCAGTATAATTTCCTTCCCCTCAGCACACACACAAACAAATATTTTTCAAAACAGAAATGCCACAAAGCAATTTACTAAATGATAGAAAATTCCTGCAATGCAAAGTCTAGTTAATGGCCTTATTCACGGTGTCTCAGAATAATTAAAAAACATTACTGCTAGTGACAATTACTTTGAACTTTATTAAATCCTGTGATGAACCCATCCCTATCAGTTTGTCATATGGGTGCTGGGAGGGTTGCCCAATGCAATAGCTTCTAACTGGCATCTCAGGAGCACTGTGGCCTGTCCCTTGTGGTGACCTTACTGACAGTCAGAAAAATAAAATTCCCTGTGTGTGAAACGTGTTTTTTTCTGGCTAATGGCATGGCTGATCTTTAACTCTTACACTGCTGAGGATATCCTGCATTAGCCTTTGTCTGATTTGTGGCACAGGTACTTCTGCTGATTGTTAAAATTCAATCCATAGCAAACTAAAGCTTTGAAGGTATAGGCTGCAGGGGTCTGAAGTTACAGGGGCAGGACTCCCTTCTGAGGCTTTCAGTTGTGTCCTGGCCTGAACTCTGGGAACATCTCTAATATTCAGCTCAAATTCTGACTGAGGCTATTCTTGAAAAATAAGCTGCCAAAGCCAGAAAAAGACCCAAACAAACCAATAAATACCATCAACCTCCCCCAGCAATAACTTTTTAAAAGGTATTCCCAAAGCTTATCTTTGCCATTAATAACACAGATGCATTGTACAGAGATAGTAAGCCAACCTGAAGCTTTTGGATTACAGAAACATCCTAAAACTGCTCTTAAATCAAAAAAAGCAAATCCATATTATTTTGCAAATTAATTAACAGAGATTTTTCACTCGTCTGCCTAAAAGGTGACCTCTAATTTTCAGAAAAATCAGAGTTTTCTTGCTATTTCAAGAAACTGGTCCAAGTTTTACATAGACAACTTTTAATGCAAATTATGGAACTGAGCGGGCATTCTTGTTTCATCTTCTGAAGCTAACATAGTCCCCAAATGTTCACATCACTTGGGAACAGGCAACTTAAAATTTCACAGTAAGAAAGACATTGTTTAAGGATTGAGTGCATTTCCTGATTACTCTGCATTTCAAGATTTGGATGAGTACCAAATATTAAGACCTTTGTCTTCTGTACAGAGTTGTGAAATCTCAATGAGTTTCTAAATCTGCAGATAACAAAGCTTGTAGGGACTACAAATAAGCTGGAGGACAAGCTAGGAATTCAAATGAACTTGACAAGTGGGAAAGCAGATGAAAAGCAAAGGATATTTATTCAGTGGGGACAAAGGCAAGGTTCTTCATCTAAGCATGAATAATTAGCTATGCAAATGTAGGACGTGGATCAAGTAGTTAGCAGTTTTACAGAGAAAGATGCGAGGTTCGTTGTGCATCAGTGATGAACGTGAGTCAACAATGTTACACTGTTGAGTAAAAGCCAAATACCCCCCTCAGACAGCTGAAAATGAGAGTCAAGATGCATGAGGCAATCTTTTCCCTACAGACAGAACCCATCAAGCTGTAGCTGGAACGTGCCATCCAGCTCCTTTGCTTTGAATTCCAAGGAACATGGCCAAACTGGATAGAGTGAAACTAGGACAATGAAACAGCCAGGGTTCATTACCTATGAAGAAAGACAGAAGTATTTGGAATTGTTAATCTGAAAGAACAGAAGCAGGAAAATTGTGATGATAGTCTATAAGTATGAAAAAGTTTTTTGTAAAATGGAAGTGAATAACATATCTGTATACATGGGCTATAGCATATAAAAATTTGCAGTTGCAATAATGAAGATTCGATTTCACCTCCAGAAAACAAACTTCTATTTCAGTCCTTCACCTTCCCTACCAACAGAAGTGAGATGGACATCATCTCCAACAAGAAATTTTTAACAGGTGAAAGACATGGCTGTTAGGAATAAAGAAGGTGTAAGGGATCATACCGTAGAACTTCACAAAGTCCCTTCCAGTATTGTTTCCATTAAAAACCTAGCAAGTACACATTTCTGCACAGACTGAGGCAGAGAGTAAGAACAATGAAAGCACTTTGAGGAATCTACTCTCCTGTTACTTTTTTACAAGTTTTCCTTAACTGTGGCAGAAGCACACAGGAGAGATATAACTGGCTCAAGGTTCTAATCATTATTTGGTATTAGAGGAGAAATACATTCCTACCTTTGCCATGCTGGGCTGACATACTACAGCTGTTTTTTCCACACTCAGAAGGAGAACTAAATAATTATACCTAATATCTTTTTCAAAGCAATAATCCAACACTGCTGATTCTCATCAGTTAGCCACTGTTTTATTCCCATCAAGA